GGTCAGTGCAAACGGGGGTCAGCCAGAGCGCCGGATCTAGGATCTGGACGCCCGAAATGGGTACGGAAAGAATGGGTACAATGCCCAACAGCAGTTCCTGCTCATTTTGAACAGGGCTCGCTGTCCGCGCCGCCGCGGCCTGTGTCCATTTGAGGCAGAAGGCCGCCTGCCCAGCAGCGGCCGCTGTTGGTTTGGGACAACATTCGTTGTCGGGCACTGTGCCCATTCTTTCCGTACTCCAGATGTCGTAATAAAAGGGAGGGGGTCTGGACCCTCCAAGACAAGCCATTTCAGACCTCCCCCGTGGGAGAACCCTCCAAAACATCGTCCCCAGACCCCCCCAGGCCCTCCAAGATAGCCTGGAAGAGACCCCCCCCGAAATGAGACCCCCCTCCTTTTATTACGAAATCTGGAGTGCCCATTCTTTCCGTGCCCATTTCGGGCGTCCAAATGAGACGGGGGTCAGTGCAAACGGGGGTCTGCCAGAGCGCCGGAGCTTGGAGGGTCCTGCAGGGCCAGTGGGTCGCACTGACCCGGGCTCGGGTGCAGGATCCCATCCAGGATCTTGCAGGGCCTTTCGCATCGACCCGGGTTTGGGTCTGCCCTGATTCCAGATCCGCCCTGCTTTGGCTTTTCTTCCAACTTAAAATTGCATCGGAAATCCGCCTATAATGAGCCGAAAAAGTAGGGCGGAAATTGCTGCACCCAACATAAAACAGGGCGGAAGTCCAAAGAAACAGCAGTAGAAAAGTAGGGCGGAAATTGGCATCAGCGGGGCTTGAAAAGTAAGGCGGAAATTCCAAGCCCCACTTACGAATTACCCCAAAGTAGGGCGGATCCGGAGTCAGGGCCGGGTCTGGACTGATCCGGGTCAGCAGATCCCCGAGGTCGCTCACAGCTAGGAGGCGGACGCCTAGGCTCAGCGGCCTTCTGGGCGGCGCTCGAAGCGCTGCCACGCCGGGTATTGCGAAGAGGCACGGTGGCGGAGCTCGCCGCAGGCCGCTGGATGCCTGCCGACTTGGACGTCTCGAGAGATGCTGCCCTCTCCTTGACGGCACCGGCCTTCTGAGAAGTTTTCCAAGTCTTCCCCGAAGACACCGAACAATTTCTCAGAAGGTGCGAGGGCTTCTGAGACGTCTGCCGCCTTCTGAGAAGGCCTTCTCCTTCTCATCTCCCCCCCTCGCTGGTCGTTTATATGCTGTTGTGCCCATGCACCCTTGAGTCATCAATAGTCACCACGGAAGGTTTTTCGCTGTGTTCGGTCTCTGGGGTCCGTTACGGGGCATCGGGACCGTCCAAGAACGACTCAGGAGGAAAAGCCAGTCCTGGGGAATGGGCCGAGACCTTTGGGGGTCGACGTGAAAATCTCATGACGCCGGGGGACTGGGAGTGTGGCGTTCACCGAGCACCATGGGCCTTGCCTTGGTGCCCCTTCTCCGCCAGCGCTCTGCCGGACAGAAGGTGGGATTTGAACTGCTGCGGGTAGCCCCACCCCCAGCGGCGCTGCACACCCATGGGGAGCGCAAGGTGTCACCCTCCGAGCGGCTAACACAAGGTCTGGGGGCGCTGGTCCGGGAGGAGGGGGGAGGGGAGCCTCAGGCCCCCATCGCGTCGTGGAAAAATCGAAACGGAGGGTTTCTACCGATTTTCGCCTCCCCGGGGCCCTCACCAGGTCCTGGGACCGTCGAAGAACAACTCGGGATGAACATGCGGTCCCGGGGACAAGTTCCAGACTCGCGTTTTGACAAAATCAGAACGTCGAGGGCGAGGAGTGGGAGGGGGAGGGGGGGGGGGCGGCGTCAACACCGCCCTGCGCCAACCTGCGGCGTGGCAGTTCAGGCGGGCACCACGAACGCAGCCCAGCAGACCGGGCGGGAGCCCTGGAACCGTGTCCTTTGAGAGCCGCGGCCAGGAGGGCAGTAAGGGCGAGGAGGGGGGGGGAGGATTCTTTCTAGCGCAGTATTCATGAGCATATCACGGCCAGGAGAGAGAGGGGGGGACGGTCCTCTGCTGCGCATCGTTCATCAGCGCATCGTCGCAATGAATGCCTGCCTCATGGAGGCGGCATCGACTGGCTCGTAGCGCAGAGTCTGGCTGGCGTCGAGGTGCACGATGAGGAGGAGGGAGGAGGGAGGAGGAGGGAGGAGGAGGGAGGAGGAATGAGGAGGAGGGAGGAGGAGGGATGAGGAGGCCGAGTGGGCTGGGAGTGGAGGCCGGGGGGCCGAGGGTGACTAGCTTTGCACACCTACGAGGCGGAGGAGCTCCGCGCGGCTCTCCTGGATCGGCGGCGCGCCTCCTCCCTGCTCCCTCCTCCCTCCTCCCACCTCCCTCCCTCCTCCCTCCTCCCTCCTCCCTCCTCCTCCTCCTCCTCCTCCTCCTCCTCCTCCTCCTCCTCCTCCTCCTCATCCTACTCCTCCTTCTGGCGCAGAACAGGGATGGACCGCTCCGGACAGGTGCTGTCTGCAGTGGGTTCTTTCCCGACCTGACCGTGTCCCGGCGACTCGGGGAAGCCAGTTTGCTCCTTGCCGGCAAGCTGTTCCGAGGAGCCGCGCACCCAGGAAAAGGGTTCGATGTGGACTCGTGCATAACGGTTTGTGATATCCTTCATCTGTTCTCTCCCCTTTTCCTCCTGTCAGTTCGCCCGTAAACAATTACAAAGAGGCGAACGATCTCACCTGTTCTCCGCCCGACTCGTGGCCATGCCCACGTACGATCCTAGATCGACATGCCCCCCCCCCTGCAAGAGTGGCCAGGTAGCTGGAAGGTGTTCAATATTACCACATGTTCGATCGTGAGATGCGCCTCCAGTCGTGAGATGCGCGCGCACGCGCGCGTGTGTGTGTCTTCTTCCGCCAGCGCAGCCACTCTGCCTAGCCGCCGACGTAAAAGTGTGTGCGTGTGTACCCAAATCTGCTGCACCTCGGGCTGCGCTTCCGCGCGAAGCCGCAACCGCGTCGTTGGGCGCGGGGTGGTCTGGGGGGGAATGGCAAAGGAACGCCCATTGGGCACCATGTTGCTGCGTTCGCTTCTCGCGCGGATTGTACGATGTGCAAGGACTAGGAGTAGCCCAAAGTGGTTGAATGTCGGACTCTATGGTTTGCAACAAACAGAGCTTATGGAACCACAAACACACACGCTGTTGCGCAGCGTTGGCCAATCCACGAGGTCCGTACGATCGCCATTGGTTGACAATAGCTGAGAGCACACGTTGGGCTACAAAGATCGCTCGTTGTCACATTGTCCGTCTGCCGGCAGCAAGTCCCGCCACCGTGCCACCCCAGCACCTTGGGCGGCGACTTTCTAGAGGGTGCACAGGAGGCCATAACGTGTGACACCTCGTATCCCGAGGCTTAGGGGAGTCGTGGCATGTGACACACTCTTCCGCTTTGTGTCGGGGTGCGCTTCTCGTCTTTCGTCATCATCCGTTCTTTCTTCCGTCCTTTCTTGGGCTCCTGTGGGGCAGTCTTGCGGGTCTCTTGGGTCACTTTGGGTTGTCTTGGGGGCCTTCTTGAGGCTCTCTTGGGCCGTCTCCAGGCCTTCCAGGCTTTGTGGGGTATTTCTTGCGACCGTCGAGAAGAAGCTCTTTAAGGCCATCTTGGACACTCTGGAGACCCCTTTGAGACAGCTCGGGGCTATCTTTAGGGACCATCCTAGGCCGTCCAGGGGCTTTCCTGCGCTGTCTTGAGGCCGACTTGGGGAATTGCGTTGCAAGTCTGGAGCTTTCTTGGGATGTCTCAGGGCCATCTTGGAGGCCTCTAGGGCCGTCTGGATCTGCATGAAGCCGGAACGTGTGACGACGCCCAAACTTTTCAGACAAGCCGCATGGTAATTCATGAGCTTGGCCTCCTCGGGCCCTCCTGGGGATCCCATTCTGATCCTCCTGGGCTGTTTCGGGGGGCATCGCGGGCCGTCTGGAGGCCATCTCGGGCCGCCGTGGGGCGGCCCGGGTTGCCTGCCACGGATGTTTTGGGAAAAGCTGCGGGGAGCGGTTCCGCAGTGCTTGCAGGAGGGCTCTCGGCCTGGGGAGCGCGGGCCCTTGCTCTGTTCTTCGAGGGGTCGTGGCCCCTGGCGGACCCACTGCGTTTTTTTTTGGTCGCAGGGGGTCGTGTCCTCGGGGGGATGAGCTCGGGGGCCGCAGATCCGCTCCTGCTTGCAAGGGGGTCGTGGCTTCGGAAGGTGGGCTGGTGCACGCGGCACTCCTTGGTGCCAGGGGGGGCTTTTGCAGCGCACAGGAACTCTGCCCATGCTCAGAAATTGCAGCCCTTGGCGTTGTACCGTGCATCAACGTGCCAGGGGGCACGGTGGCGGATTGCGCGATCGACCGCTGGACGGAGGCTTTTCTCGGGTGTGCTAGGAGTGGTGACGAAGCGGACGACGAAGAGCAGAATGGGAGGAGGTGGTGCAGATTCTTTTTGTTGGGGTTCAGGAGGGCCAGCTAGCTAGCTTGGAAAGGTAAGTCTCCCGCAGGTGGGACATGGTGGGCACCACACGGATGTTTGGTCAAGGCCATCTTTCAAATCTGTATGTTATTATCGGTGGGGTTCGTCTCCCATTCGTGGGCGGTTCCGTTTTTGATGATTATTGTTGCCCCCACCCTCTCATCTTGACCTCAGAGCTTTGCATAAGGTGTTGCACATGACCACAGTATGTGTCGCCTTTCTCGCCAATTTCCCCTCACGTCTTAAGGCGGTCCACCCGGGTTGCCCGCAGGCCAGCCCGGGCGTCGATTCCATGTCGTACTTGAACGGTTCCAGCGTGGAGCTCGGACTCTTGCACTCCTCCAACACGAGCAGCTTCGGGTATGCGTTCTCGGAGGACGTCAGCGGAGCGAGCAACGTAGCAGCAACGTCCCAGGGCCAACTTCCGTATGCCGCTGTCCTCAATCTCGCATGCGCTCGCCCCATGCGCTACGCAGTGCATTCCGAGGCGCGAGCTAGCTATTCTCCAGATGGTCTCGTTTCACTCTCCTGCGAAAAGGGAGCAGGAGCAGGAGACGGCGATAGAGAAGCACGAGCGGGAGGAGCAGGACGATTATGAGCAGGAGGGGAAGGGGGAGTAGAAGGCGGCGCCAGGCTCCTAGTGCTTCCGCCGTCTTCTTCCCTCCGACTCGTGCTGCGCATTCCTTCTATTCCGCGTTCTCTGTGCCCCTCCCTCGCCGTTCTTGTTTCTCCGCTCCTGCCCCCTTCATCCTCCTGCTGCTCCCTTTCCCTCCCATGCAAAGCGAGAGGGGACCGGACGAGCATGATCAGGGGAATGATGAGAATGGCGATGATGAGGATGATGTTGATGATGAGGATGATGCTGTTGTTGATGTTGATGATGGTGGTGGCGATGGTGTGATGGTTACGGTGATGGTGATGACGATAGTGATGGTGATGGTGGTGATCATTTCGGTGATGGTGATGCTGATGGAGATGGTGAGGTTGATTCAATTGATGATGTTGATGATGATGATGGCGAAATTTCGCAATGATGATGAGGATGATGAGGAAGTAGATGCTGATGATGACGATGACAAGGCTGGGGGCGATAATCAATATGATGATGATGGTGATAACGACGGCGACGATGCTGATGCTTATGACGATGATAAATGGTGATGCTGATGATGATGATGATGATGGGGATGATGGCGATGACTACGACGATGATGGTGATACTGATGATGATCATGATGATGAGGTGATGATGATGTTGATTTTGGTGGGTGTGAGGGTGAGGGTGATGGTGATGATGCTTGTGATGATGGTTGATGGTGATTTTGATGGTGTTGGTGACCTTGTTGATGATGGTGATGATGGTCATGACGGTGATGGTAAATGTGATGGTGATGATGGTGATGGTGATGTTGACGGTGATGATAATGATGGGGATGGTGATGGTGATGGAGGTTGTGATGGTGAGAATGATGTTGATGATCGTGATGATGGGGAATCTGATGGTGATGATGGTCATGATGACGTGGATCATGAGGCTGATGATGACGACGACGAGGCTGACGATGACGATGACGAGGATGAGGATGATGACGAGGATGCTCATAATGGTGATGATGATGTTGATGATAGCGATGATGCTGGTGATGGCGATGACGATGATGATATTAATGAGTATGATGTTGATGATGATGGAGATGATGATGATGATGATGATGATGATGCTGATGCTGATGCTGATGCTGATGCCGATGCCGATGATGCGGATGAGCATGAGGATGACGGTGATGATGATGCTGATGATTGTGATGCTGATGGTGCTGGTGAGGATGATGATGACGGTATTGGTGATGGTGAGGATGGTGCTGGTAATGGCGATCCGGATGGTGATGATGATGATGATGATGATGATGATGATGATGATGATGATGATAATGATGGTGATGGTGATGGTGATGGTGATGGTGATGATGATGGTGATGATGAGGGTGATGGTGGTGGTGATGGTGAGGATGATGATGGTAATGAAGGTGATGATGATGAGAGTGATGCTAATGATGTTGATGCTTATCATGATGATAAGGATGATAGTGTTGATTCGGATGATGACGTTGACAAAGACGGCGAAGATGACGATAACAAGGATGCTGATGAGGATGATGGTGGTGATGAGGATGACGATGATCCTGATTATGATGATGTTATTGTTGATCATGATGGTGGTGGTGATGATGATGCGGATGGTGACGATGCTGTTGATGATGGTGATTGTGATTGTGAGGCTGATGATGTTGATGATGCAAATGATGATGGCGAGGCTGGTCACGATAGTATGGATGACATTGGTGGTGAGGATGATGATGACCACGTGTATGACGATGACGAGCATGAGGAGGATTGTGTTGAAGAAGAGTAGGAGTAGAAGGAGGAGGAGGAGGATGCGGGGGAGGAAGTGTCAAGGAGCAAGCGCTTCTCCTTGGCATGCTTGCGCATTCTCCCCAGCTGCTCTGCCTCGCTCCTGTCCGTTTCCGCCCTGCTCCGCAACCCTCCCTATCTTGCCCCTGCTTCCTTCTCTCCCTTCCACCTCCCAGCAGGGATGTCCTAGCATGCGATGGCATGTTTTGCGCCTGTAGGGCAAGATGGCATCTTGTGCGCCTGCACGGGAAAAACGAAGCAACGGGAAGGGATGGGTGGGAGGGGGGCACAGGATGTCAGATGATGTATGGCGCGGGCGCACCCAGACCTAGCCTGTCCCCTCCTCCTCCTCCACCTCCTCCTCCTCCTCCTCCTCCTGCTCTCCTACTCCTCCTCCTCCTCCTCCTCCTCCTCCTCCTCTTCCTCCTCCTCCTCCTCCTCCTCCTCCTCCTCCTCCTCCTCCTCCTGCTCTCCTCCTCGTCGCTCCTTCCTCGCCTCTTCCTCGCTCCCTGCTCTCTCCTGCCGCCCCCCCCTCCCCGCGCAGGACTGCGCCCGGCAGCGGGACGCGGGTCGCGCGCGCCGCCCAGGCTCTCCGCCCCCATCGCCGCGCTTCTTGGCGGCCGCCCGCCGCCGCCGCCGCCGCCGGTGCTGCCGCCGTCGTCGCCGCCGTCGTCCTCGCCTTCGTCTCGGCGGCGAGCGAGGGAAGTGAGAAGGAGAGTCGGGGGTGGACAGAACCCCCAACAGTGACACGTCGATTAGTGAATTGTCCGTTTTCGGTTCTCGAGGGGGCGCCGTGGCCGTTGTTTTCCAGGCTTGCGCCCGCCATGTTTTGGCCTCATGTCGTTTTCACTAAACCACGTTTTGCTAAAGGGGGGTCTGTCCATCCCCGACTCGCCCTCGTCTCGGCGGCGAGCGAGGGGATGAAGTGAGAAGGAGAAGGCCCTCTCAGAATCGAAGTGGAGAAAACAAATTGTAGACATAAGCTGATGGCGCTCCGCGCGGACTTCTTGGATCTGCGTTGGGCCACCATGGCGGCACCCCCGTCGCCGCCCCTGGCGCGCTCCGCGCGCCAGGGTGGGGGATCCAGTGCGGATCCAAGAAATCCGCGGCGGGGCTTCTCAGAAGCGCTCTGGCCTTCTGAGAAGTTTCCTGCGTCTTGCGGGAAGGCTCAGGACAATTGTCAGAAGGCCGGGGGACTTCCGAACCTCCTGAGAAGGCCCACCCCTCCTCACTTCCCCCCGTGCTCGCCGCCGGTCGTCACTGTCGTCCTCGTCGACCGCGTCGTTATCTCTGCCGCCGTTGCCCCTGCTCGGGGGACAGCGAGGGGCACGAACAGAAGCTGTCGGAGGCCCGCTCGGATTGCTCGGATCGGCGCGGCAACCCCTCGGCGGCGCCTGCGGCACCGCCCCTGGCGCGCTCCGCGCGCCAGGGGGAGGGGTCCGGCGCCGATCCCGAGAAAAAGCCGCGCGGACCTCCAGAAGTGCATAGGCATGCCATTTCCTCGTCGACGAGGGACCTGCATACGAACAAGGACTAAAATTGGTGCATACGATCCGCGCGGACCTCCAAGAGTGCATACGCTTCCGCCCACTCGAGATCTCGAGGGGGCGGAGGCGGGGCCCAGAGCCCTCGGACGCCTCGGGGCGCCGGCCGCCCTCCCGGGGGTTATTGGACCCCAGGTCCTGGAGAGGGCTCGAAGCCGGCGAGCACAGATCCAGCCCGGACTCCGGATCCGCCCTACCTTGGGGAATTTCGTAAGTAGGGCTTGGAATTCCCGCCTCACTTTTCAGGCCCCGCTGATGGCCAGCGACGTCGACGCCGGAAGCGCACGTGCTGAAGGGGGCCCCGGTCGAGCGCGTAGCCATCCCTCCTCCTCGTCGTCGTCGTCGTCCTCCTCCTCCTCCTCCTCCTCCTCCTCCTCCTCCTCCTCCTCCTCCTCCTCCCCCTCTTCCTCCTCCTCCTGCTCCTCCTCCTCCTCCTCCCCCTCCTCCTCCTCCTCCTCCCCCTCCTCCTCCTCCTGCTCCTCCTCCTCCTCCTCCTCCTCCTCCTCCTGCTCCTTCCCTGAATGGGGGCCCCGAGGTCCGACGCCGCGAGAGGCACGGCAGCCTCGTGAGGGGTCGCGGCGCCAGGGCCCCGTAATATTACCCTATGGCGGCACCTCCCGAGGCCGAGCGATCTGCGAGGGCCCCCCGCAGGCGCAACGCGAGGTTCCTCGGAGTCCTAGAGATTGTCACCAACACTCAGAGCCCCGAATCATCAGGGGTAACTCGGGTCAGGGATAACTCGGGTTCGTTTTTCGGGATTCCGAACCCGAGTTACCCCGGACCCGAGTTACCCTGGATATCTCGGGCGTCCAGAGCCCCGAATCATCAGGGGTAACTCGGGTCAGGGCTAACTCGGGTTCGTCTCTCGGGATTCCGAACCCGAGTTACCCCGGACCCGAGTTACCCCGGATATCTCGGGCGCCCAGAGCCCCACATCATCAGGGGTAACTCGGGTCAGGGCTAACTCGGGTTCCTTTCTCGGGAATCCAAACCCGAGTTACCCCGGACCCGAGTTACCCCGGATAACTCGGGCGCCCAAAACACCAAGATCGGCGGTGTGCCTCCACCGAGGGAAGACGATCCCGATCTCGGTGGTGGTGGTAATATTTTTTGGCTTCGAAGGTGACCGGAATATTACCACCAGCACCGAAATCTGAGATCATCGTCTCCCCGTGGAGGCAAACCCCTGTGCTGGTGTTGGTGCCAAGTTCCAGGCCTCCAATTTCAGGAGGGAAAGAAACACAGAGGCACATTGAATCATCCATTCCCCAGAAAATATATGGGAACATTTGGGAAGTGGGGGGGAAGGCAGAAGCCCGGAAACTAGGGGAATCTTTTTCTTTGGGTGTATTTCTTTGTGTGTTGTGGGGCCCCTTCAGAGTGGCGACGCCCGGGTCTCAGGAGGGCTTGTCGCTCTGCCTCCTCCGCCCGCGCGCACGCCCGGACCGAGAATTCTCAGGACGTGACTTCGTGTGTGTGTGTGTTTCTGTGTGGCGCCCCTTCCCCAGAGCCCTTCGAGGAGTGACAATATCGCGACGGAAGGTGTTTCATTGTTTTCGGCCTCAGAGACCCTTCCTGGGCCTCAGGACCGTAAAAAAACACGATTGGGGATGAGAAACTGGTCTCGGGGAATGGGTCGAGACCTCGGGGGGTCGACGGAATGAACAAACTCATGACGTCGGGGGTCTGGGTCGACTGATCTACACACTCGCTTGCCTCTAGCGGAGTCCCTTTTTCTGCACGCGACCGCCACCATCCAGTCCACTCACCTGCTCCTCGAGTAACGCTGGGGGGGCGACAGGCTCAGGGGGGGATGCATCGACCCCGATCGCCCATTCATCGCCGACTGGGGCCTACAGTGCCGTTTTTAGTACATGCTCCGCGTGCGGATCGTGTATTCAAAATGCAGGGATTTGGTATTAAAAACAACGGTGAGCTCATGCATACATCTATTCATAAATTAGTCATGTTTGAAAAACCCTATAGTTTCAAAATCCTATGTATTAAAAACTGCCCTGTAGTAGCCCCAACCTGCCCAGGACCGTGCGCATTCGCTCTCGGGGGCCCATCGCCGATCTATCGGCGATGTATCGGCGATTCCGGGTCGATCCTCCCCTCCCCATGAGCCGGTCCCTCCCGGCCGTTGCCCCTCACTGGTACCCCATACCCCCGACGTCATGATTTTCTCATGACGCCGCCCCCCCCAGAGCCTTCGACCTATACTCCCCGGGACCGGTTGGTTCATCCCGAGTCGTGGTTTGCCGGCTCTGAGGCCCGGCCAGGGCCCCTGCAGGGCCCGAAGATTGCGAGGACCTCCCGTCGTGGTTGCTTTCTCACTCGGGGGGGGGCCTGGAAACGACACGAAGATCGGGACAGAATCGGATCGGGCTAACTCGAAATCTCTGAGAATCGGCGGGTTTGGAGGATGTATTGGGCGCCGCGGCCGCTCCAGAGCGTTCCGGAACGCTCTGAGAGCGCTCCGGAACGCTCTGGAGCGATTTATCCCGATCCCAGCCCTGTTTTAAGCCTGGGACGCCAGGTGGCCATTCGACTGAGCGTGGCCTGGCTTAAAGGCCCCCGACGGTGAAGCCGCCGCGCCGCTGGAGGAGCAGCGGCGTGCCGCCCCGCTCGGCGTGCCGCCGCTGGCGCGCGCGGGCGGCGCACACGGCGCCCGCGCCGCAGCCAGGGGAGCTTTGGCCCGTGGCGTGAGGCCCAGACCCCCCCCTCGAGCAATGAAAAAATCACGACGGGAGGTTGTTCGCCGTTTTCGGCCTCCGGTGGCCCCGGCCGGGCCTCGGGGCCGTCCAAAAAAAACGACTCGGGATGAGAAGCCTGGTCCCTGGGGATAGGTCGAGACCTCGGGGGGGTCGACGTACAGTCGGGGCGCTGAAGAAGGAACCCTTTTCGTTGGGGAGGGGCTCGATATTCCTGAATTGTTCCACACCTTGTCTAAGGTTTCCCTTCTGTTTTCGAAGGGAAGTCAAAGTTTAACTTACGAGGAAAGGGGCCTCGTTCCTTATTTAGGGTTCCTTAGGTCAACGCCTCGACTGTAATGAGAACTCATGATTTCGGGCGTCTGTTGACAGTGGGGGGCCATGCCAGGAAACACCCTGCTTGCCTCCAGGGTGCCCCGGGTTTCTTGGGCTTCGATGATTTTGCTGTGGAGAGCGCGACTTTCCCACGCCAGATATCCATGGACATCCCGGGGTCTCAAGGTTGGGTTTCTTGTGGAAGGTTTCTTGTGGACCGGCCTCCACTGTAGATCTGGCCCCGGATCAGTCCTCCCAGACCCCCTCGAGTTTTGACAAAAATCGCTACGGAAGATGTTTCGCTACTTTTCCTCCCTCCATGGGCCCTCCCCAGGCCTAGGGACCGTCAACAAAGATTCCGGATGAGACACGGGTCCTGGGGAATAGGCCGACACCTTTTTTGGGGGTCGACGCCATAGAAAACATCATGGCGTCCGGGGTCTGGGCTCCATGGCTGGAGCGGGCTGGAGACCGTAGGTCCGGCACGGGTTCCGTCGAGCAGGAAGGGGGGGCGAGGTTGAACCTCGCCCCCCCAGACCTTCGAGCCGTGTCGAACCCAAAACCTTCTTCGCACCGTTCGAAGTTTTGGGTTCGACGCGGACTTTGCCTTCTTCGGCCTCCAGGGCGCGATTTCTGATCCGGGCTCAGCATGGATCAGACGGACCCCGGAGGGGTGTCCGGGCTTCCATTTTGCACGGGTTTGCCTTTTATCGAAACGAGTCCCCGGAACCCTCCCGGGGTCCATCTGGTGCAGTTTTTCGCCCCAGGTGCGTCTGTCCCGAGAACGGCCCCCGCCGCGGTAGACGAAACTGATCCCAAACCTCCCGGAGCCCAGAACCTCGGACCTCCTCCCCCCCTTGTCCTGCTCGCCGGAGCCAGTGCTGGGCCTCCTCAGACCCCCAGCCGGCTCCGAGCTCTGAGCAGCAGCCGCCCCCCCAGAGATCCGACGTCGTGATTTTTTCAATGCGGGGCCCCTGGAAGTCTCGACCCACTCCCCAGGACCGGCTTTTTTCATCCTGAGTCGTTTTTTGACGGCCCCGGGGCCCGGCGAGGGCCGCCAGAGGCCAAAAATCGAGAAAAACAAAAAACGAAAAAAAAAAAAAAAAAAAAAAAAAAAAACGTCATGATTTTTTCAGCCGCCAGGTCGGCCACGCGGCCCTCCGCGCTCAGCCGCAGGGCCTCGGCTGCAGCCAGGGCGTCCGAAGCGGTCGGGGCCCCAGGACATCGGCCAGGAGGGGGGGGGGGAGGCCAACCCCGCTCAGGCTCGGCCCCCGGACGCCTGCTGGGGCCCACATGGCCCTGACTCCGGATTCGCCCTACTTTGGCTGTTTTTCCAACTTAAGATTGCGTCGGAAATCCACCTAGAAGAGGCCGAAAAAGTAGGGCGGAAATTGCTGCACCCAGTATAAAATGGAGCGAAAATCCACAGGAGTAGGGCGGAAACAACAACAGAAAAGTAGGGCGGACATTGGCATCAGCGGGGCTTGAAAAGTAAGGCGGAAATTCCAAGCCCTACTTACGAATTTCCCCAACGTAGGGCGGATCCGGAGTCAGGGGGGGAGCAGGTCTGCGCCCCGGGATCCGTTCTCGTTGGCGCGTCGGAGGTCTGAGTCCCCCGCGCCCACGCCCGCAGGCTCGGCGCCGCCAGGCTTCCTCGGCGGCGCCCCGTCGCTGGCGCGGGCCGCGCGGCACTCCGGCGCCGCGGACGGCGTGGCCGCTGCCCCGCAGGAGGGGCCGGCGGGCCTCGGGGCCGACGAACGAACAACACACACCCATACCCATACCCAGACCCCCTCGAGTAGCAAAAAAAATCACGACGGGAGGTTTTTCGTCATTTCCAGCCTCTGGGGGGGGGTCTCTTCCAGGCTATCTTGGAGGGCCTGGGGGGGGTCTGGGGACGACGTTTTGGAGGGTTCTCCCACGGGGGAGGTCTGAAATGGCCTGTCTTGGAGGGTCCAGACCCCCTCCCTTTTGTTACGACATCTGGAGTATGGGTGTGTGTTGTCGGTTCGTCAATCGGGGTGCGCACGCGCGCGCCGGTCGCTGGGGGCAGATGCTGCGCGGGAGGCCCAGGTCCCAACCCAGACCCCCTCGAGTTGTGACGAAAATCACGACGGGAGGTTCCCTGACTCCAGATCCGCCCTACTTTTTGCTTCTTTTCCAACTTCAAATTGCGTCGGACATCCACCTAGAAGAGGCCGAAAAAGTAGGGCGGACATTGCTGCACCCAACATAAAATAGGGCGGAAATCTACAGAAACAGCAACAGAAAAGTAGGGCGGAAATTTGCATCAGCGGGGCTTGAAAAGTAAGGCGGAAATTCCAAGCCCCACTTGCGAATTTCCCCAACGTAGGGCGGATCCGGAGTCAGGGTTTTCCGTTATTTTTGGCCTCTGGGGGCCTTATACCGGCCCTCGGGATCGTCAAACAACGACTCGGGACGAAGAACCGGTCCCGGGGAAGGGGTCCAGACAGCTGGGGGTCGACGTCATGAAAAAGTCACGACGGCGGGGGTCTGGGAATATCTACCCCAAGCGCCATCCTACTTCAAGGATGGATGTGCTTTCGCTGGGTCTGGTGCCCAATCTGCTTTAGCCGCCTTCCTGCTGCATGTTTTGGCCTGCCTCTTCCGGCCGACGTGCAACCCAGGCCCCCTCGAGTCACGCAGAGACCCACGAGGGGAGATTGCTCCCTGTTTTCGGCCTCGGGGGATCCCGGCCTCGGGGCCGTCGAAGAAGGATGCGGAGTTAAACGCCGGTCTCGGGGAATCGGTCGAGATTTTTGGGAGTCGACGTTCTGCAAAGTCCATGCCCCCTCTCCCAGACCCCCGACGTCACGACTTGTTCAATACGTCGACCCCCCGAGGTTCCGACCCATTCGCCGGTGCCGGTTTTTCGTCCTGAGTCGTTTGTTGACGGTCCCGAGGCTCGGCGAGGGCCCAGAGTGGAGCGAGAAGCCATCCGTCGTGTTTTTTTCATGATTCGAGTGGTCTGGGTGTGAAGGTCCCGGGGCCCGAAATTGTGCGAGAACGCCATGCTCTCAGGGCCCCTTCCTCAAGCCCAGACCCCCGACGTCATGATTCATATCGTCGACTCCCAAAGAGGTCTGGTTTGGCCAAGCTGGATGTGAAAGCCCCCAAAACAAATTGCAGCGCGTTTTTGTTTTGATTCGTTGAACTGGGTTTGCGCTGAGCCTGGTTATGGTCCATGCCCGATGGTTGAGGCAGCCGTGTTTGGAGTGTCGGAGCGCGCCGACGCCCTTGAGATCCTGGCGTCGTATTATTGTCCTTCGTGTCGGGCGTTTTCTCAGGCAGTGGCGAAGCGCCCTGGCTTGCCCATAGGCCCACCAAACAATGTTTGAATAACCTTCTGTTGTTTGCACGAAGTGTTCTTAGACTAATGTCTGGTTGGGACTGCACTGCTTGAATACATCGATTACTTATGCTATCTCTGTTAGTAGAGCATTATGGTGTTCAAGGAACATGTCGTGGCACTCGTAATGCCTTCATAAACGATCCCCCCTGGACCTCCCCTTCAATTGCAGCTGAACTTTCCGGTCCCCCTTACAGGGAGAAGCCTTAACATTCTGGACCACCTTTCTGAAATTGCGTGTGGAATTCATGATGTCGACCGCGAGCGTGAAAGCGTCGGCAACGGATCGCGCTGCGAACGTGGTGATGATGTTGACGGTGGTTGCGGTGCTTGTGATAATGATTTATGATGATGTTGCCGATGGCGACGCTAATGATCAATATGGCGATGAGTGTGAACATGGCGACGATGACGATGGTGATGGCGATGACGATGTTGATGACGCTGCTGCTGAAGATGATGACTCGCAAATCGGCGGCCACGAAAACGAAGCCGCGCGAATTCCGCATAGCTTTGAGCAGAAGAAGAAGCACGCGAAGGCACCCTAATTATTCACTGCGTGGAGCTCCCCATATGTGCATCTACTCGCATGGACCTGTCCGCCGTGAATGTCTAGGCGCAAGAGCTTTCGAATATTAACGGGCTTCAGTTGTGACGGTCTGGACATCAATCTAACTGCGAATGAATTGGAGTGTGAATGAGCCTCAGTAGTACGAGCGCGTCTCTGTGCATGAGCCTGGGGCCTCCTGGGGCCTCCTGAAACCTACTGGGGCTTCCTGGGGTCTCCAGGAGCCTCTTGGGACCTCCTGGGACCTCCTAGGAAGGTTTCGTGCCCCAGGAGAGGCGCAATCTATAGCAACAGACGTACATAAAACATTGCGGATTAGAGCCACAGGAGAAGGGCAATCTATAGGAACACGCGTAAAACACCAAGGACTCGTGCCCCAGGAGAGGCCCAATATATAGGAACATGAGTAAAACATTTAGGATTGTGTACACAGGAGAAGGACCATCTATAGAAACATACGTAGAACATCAAAGAATCGTGCTCCAGGTGAGGCCCAATCGATAGGAGCATACGTAAAACACATGGGATTGGAGCCACTCCTGTTGCCTTCTGAGGCCTCCTGCTCCTGGGGCCTCTCGGGGCCTCCTGTTGCCTTCCGAGGCCTCCTGGCGCTTCCTGTTGCCTCCTGGGGCCTCCTGTGGTTTCCTGAGGCCTTCTGGAGCTTCCTGGGGCCTCCTGGAGCCTCTTGGGACATCCTGTGGCCTCTTGAGTCTTTCTGTGGCCTCCTGATGCCTCCTGGGACCTCATGTGGTCTCCTGGGGCCTCCTGGAGCCTGTTGGAGCCTCCTGTGGCATCCTGAGAAGAATCTGCGCCCACGAGCCTGGCCACCAAAACAAGCAAACCGATCGAGACATCCTCAAAATCTGGCCCACCTGGGGGGTGAAAATGAGCGCCTCGCTCGAGACATCCTCCAAATCTGCTCCGAAAGCGAAGGATGTTGAGCCCAGAAACAAGCAAACCGCCTGAGACATCCCCACAAAATGGCCGCGAACGAGCCCGTGCAACCACCCCTGGCGGCTCCCCTTAGGGCCACGAGCCTGGCCACCAAAACAAGCAAACCGATCGAGACATCCTCAAAATCTGGCCCACCTGGGGAGTGAAAATGAGCGCCTCGCTCGAGACATCCATCCAAATCTGCTCCGAAAGCGAAGGATGTTGGGCCCAGAAACAAGCAAACCGCTTGAGACATCCCCACAAAATGGCCGCGAACGAGCCCGTGCAAGCACCCCTGGCGGCTCCCCTTAGGGCCACGAGCCTGGCCACCAAAACAAGCAAACCGATCGAGACATCCTCAAAATCTGGCCCACCTGGGGGGGGGAAATGAGCGCCTCGCTCGAGACATCCTCCAAATCTGCTCCGAAAGCGAAGGATGTTGGCCCAGAAACAAGCAAACCGCCTGAGACATCCCCACAAAATGGCCGCGAACGAGCCCGTGCAAACACCCCTGGCGGCTCCCCTTAGGGGTGCTGAAACCAGCGCCCCGCCTGAGACATCCTCACAATCCGCTCTCCAAGCGAAGGATGTTGGGCCCAGAAACAAGCAAACCGCCTGAGACATCCCCACAAAATGGCCGCGAACGAGCCCGTGCAACCACCCCTGGCGGCTCCCCTTAGGGGTGCTGAAACCAGCGCCCCGCCTGAGACATCCTCACAATCTGCTCTCCAAGCGAAGGATGTTGAGCCCAGAAACAAGCAAACTGGGTGTGAGTAAGTCTGTGTATGAGTAAGTCAGTGTATGAGTATGTCTGAGTGTGAGTAAGTCTGAGTATGAGTAGGTATGAGTATGAGTAAGTCTGAGCTGAGTATGAGTAAGTCTGTGTATGAGCAAGTCTGGGTATGAGCAAGTCTGAGTATGAGTAACTCCGACAGGAGGGGAGGAGGAAAGAGGAGGAGGGAGAGGGAGTAGGAAGCGTCCAAGTAATAACAATAACCCCATCTTAGGATATGGGGAATAATAAACTGGACCCCCCGAAGCTTCGATTTGAACAAGCCACCCTAATAAAATGCACCCCCCTGCCTACACTTTAAAAAACTTGACCCAGGGGACCTTTCTTACGGGATTACGAGCAGTCCTCCTTAGGAATGTTGGGATGGTTGGTCCTTGCCCCATTTTTCCAAGCATTTTTGTCCCCCGGAGCCTCATATTTTGATGCGGTTCGAAAAAGAAAGTAGAAAAATTGGCGTCCGGTGCTCCCGGTTGTTATTTTCCACAGCGTATCGTTGTTCGCGTCGTCGAGTCTCGGAAAGCACCTAATTACGTCGGCCCTGTAGGCAAGCTGGTCGTGAGCCCAGGACTTGCCATGCCAGGGCCGGCGCACAGTCTACAGATGGCGCCCCCCCAGAGGAACGATGAGCCTCATCAAACATGTCTCCACGGCTTAGAGCTCATGGAACGTATAGTGAGCCATTCGGCGCATGACAACACCCCAGAGCGCAATTAGCCTGACGAAGGACCCAACCATGTGCAGTTGCGAGTACCGCATTGTGGGTACCGGTTTCGGTGGAGCTCCTAAGGGTCCACGAAACTTGTGAGGGGTGCGCCGAAATTGGTGGCGCGGACGCATGTGGACACCGCCACGGCCTTCGGTGTAGCTCCCTATGGGGCCACGAAACGCTGCCCTGGGCGAGGCAGACGCATGCGAACTGCGCCATTGGGACCTTCGCTGGATCTCCTTATGGGGCCACGAAGCGTTGTCCTGGGTGGGAGAGACGCATGCGAACTGCGCCTCGTCGCCTTCGGTGGAGCTCCCTATGGGGCCACGAAACGTTGTCCTGGGTGGGAGAGACGCATGCGAACACCCCGATTGAGGCCTTCGGTGGAGCTCCCTGTGAGGCCACGAAGCGCTGTCCTGGGCAGGGGAGACGCATGCGAACATCCCCACTGGGGCCTTCGGTGGAGCTCCCTGTGGGGCCACGAAACGTTGCCCTGTGTGGGGGAACCGCATGCGCCCACCCCCACTGGGGCCTTCGGTGGAGCTCCCTGTGGGGCCACGAAACGCTGCCCTGGGTGAGGGAACCGCATGCGCCCACCCCCCCTGGGGCCTTCGGTGGAGCTCCCTATGGGGCCACGAAGCGTTGCCCTGGGTGGGAGAGACGCATGCGCCCACCCCCACTGGGGCCTTCGGTGGAGCTCCCTGTGGGGCCACGAAACGCTGCCCTGGGTGAGGGAACCGCATGCGCCCACCCCCACTGGGGCCTTCGGTGGAGCTCCCTATGGGGCCACGAAGCGTTGCCCTGGGTGGGAGAAACGCATGCGCCCACCCCCACTGGGGCCTTCGGTGGAGCTCCCTGTGGGGCCACGAAGCGTTGCCCTGGGTGGGGGAACCGCATGCGCCCCCCGGCACTGGGACCTTCGGTGGAGCTCCCTATGGGGCCACGAAGCGCTGCCTTGGGTGGGAGAGACGCATACGAACACCGCCAATTGGGCCTTCGGTGGAGCTCCCTATGGGGCCACGAAGCGCTGCCCTGGGTGGGGGAACCGCATGCGCCCCACCCCCACTGGGGCCTTCGGTGGAGCTCCCTATGAGGCTACGAAGCGTGTGAGAGGTGTGCTGAGAGCAGAGGGGGAGGAGGGAGGAGGGGGAGGAGGGCGGGAAGGAAGGAAGGAAGGAGGGAGGAACGCGGGGCACCGTCTCTTTAAAACGAGGACCCAACACCACAGGATGGTTGGGAAAAAAATGGTACTCCCCTTCCTAGGCACCCAACGTCTTGACAACAACAATTTGTAGTAGTTGATGACCCAATGGTGGCCGTTTTCGAGCTCGGGTTGCCGAGAAACGACTCAGAATGAGCAGCCCGCTCTGGAAAAAGGGCCGGTGTTTCTGGGGCTCCTTTTTGCACCAACAAACTCTCTGGAGTGTATGGGGTCCCTCTTCCTCCATCTCTCTCTCTCTATATATATATATACACATAACTATGTCTAGGTATGTTTGTGTATGTATGTATATTTATTTCTTTTTTGTTTTCTCTCTCTCTCTCTCCTCATCCATCTCCTCCTCTGCCTGCTCCTTCTGCTGTCCTCCTTATCCTACCGGTCCCATCCTCCTCACGACTGAGGGCCCGAACACCTGATTCTGACTCCTCCTCCTCCAACTACGACTACGACTGCTACTTCTACTACTTCTACTACGACTACTACTACTACTACTACTACTACTACTGCTGCTGCTACTACTACTACTACTACTTCTACTACTACTACGACTACTACTACTACTACTACTACCACTACTACTACTATACTACGACTACGACTACGACTACGACTACGACTACGACTACTACTACTACTACTACTACTACTACTTCTTCTACTACTACTACGACTACTACTACTACTACTACTACTACTACTACAACTACTACTACTACTACTACTACTACTACTACTACTACTACTACTACTACTATTAAAGACTACTGCTACTACTATACTACTACTACTACTACTACTTACTACTACTAACTACTGCTATTACTACTACTCTACTTACTACTACACTATGACTACTACTGCTTTACCAACAACACCAACAACAACAACAACTACTACTACTACTACTACTACTACTACTCGTACTCCTTGTTTAGTACTTCTACGACTACGAGTATTATTATTACTGCTACTATACTACTACTACTACTACTACTACTACTACTACTACTACTACTACTACTACTACTACTACTACTACTACTACTACTACTACTACTACTACTACTACTACTACTACTACTACTACTACTACTACTACTACTACTACTACTACTACTACTACTACTACTACTACTACTACTACTACTACTACTACTACTACTACTACTACTACTACTACTACTACTACTTACTACTACTACTACTACTACTACTACTACTACTACTACTACTACTACTACTACTACTACTACTACTACTACTACTACTACTACTACTACTACTACTACGACTACTACTCCTACAACTACTACTACTACTGCTACTACTACTACTACGACTACTACTGCTATTATTCCGACTACGACTACGACTATTACTACCACTACTACCACAACTACTTTTACTACTACTACTACTACTACTACTACTACTACTACTACTACTACTACTACTGCTACTACTACGACTTACTACCACGACTACTACTACCACCACGGTCCCATTCGCGCCCACATGAAGTCACTCCGATTTCGGCGCTGGGCAGCTCTACCCGAGGGGCTTTTCCCGAGGGGGTTCAGCCTAGGCTTTTCCCTAGTGTTTTTTCCCCGAGGGGTTTTCAGCCTCGCGGATGGCTTCACAGAGGCCGAACACACGAGGGCGGAGCACCGCCAGGAGGCGGCCCAGAAGCCCCGCCCCAGGGAGCGACGCCTCCCAGGGCAGGACCCGAGCGGGGGCAGGGACGAAGCTGACCCCCCCCGAGGAACGCCGACCCCCCCGCCGGCTGGCGGCCCGCGCGGGCCGCGAAGCCGATCACACACTACTCTGCGTGGGCCTTCATGCCCCCCTCCCGCTTCGCCGAGTAGCCGTCCTGCGACGTCCCCACGCGGAGTAGCCGTCCTGCGACGCCCCCACTTCCAGAGAGCCAGCACTGCCCTTTGACACCTCCACCTTCGCGATCTTCACCCCGATCTCCTTCATCTCCTCCTTCATCTCCCCTTTCGCGCTGAGGACGGTGAGCGTCTCCTTCTCCTCCTTCTCGTCGAGTTCCCCGTTGGCCTCATGGAGCGAGACACCGTTCTTCCCCTCGTGCTCCGCTGGCTTCTGGACGCAGTGCTTATCGAGGTAGTCCGACAGCATAAGAATGTCCGACTCCGTTTTTTTGAGAAATTGGAAGGGGGCCTTCTTCATCGTCTCATTTGGCCCGAACGTGGCCATCGACCCCGCATTGGGCCGCCTGAGCCCCATCGAGTGTTCTGAAACTGGAGCTTGTGGTGTGATCTCTTCCAAAGGTGGCATGTGAGGGGGAAAGCCCCCCAGTTTCGAGAAAATGGCCACCTTCCACCTTCTCATCCTCATCCTCCTCCTCCTCCTCCTCCTCCGCCTCCTCCTCCTCCTCCTCCTCCTCCTCCTCCTCCTCCTCCTCCTCTTTCCCCTCCAGAATGGTTTTGGCTCTGGATATGTCGTCTGCAGCACCGACAATTCTGCGCCGTCCTCTCCGTGCTTATTGAAGTTCAGTGGATTTGCATGGTCCGCTCTCACGAGATTGTGGCCGAGTTTCTCGGAACATTCATCCTCGCGTTCACGATAGGCTGCAACGTACTCAGTGGAAATGGTGCCTGGGGTGGAGTTTCAATCGGTAGCGCACTGATGGTGTGCATCTACGGCCTGGCACCTGTTTCTGGTGCCAATTTCAATCCTGCAGTCTCAGTGGCTCTGGGTCTTGTATCGACCATGGGCCTCTTCGACTTCGACTTCGGATGGAGAAAGGTGTTCATTTACTCAATGACGCAGTGTCTCGCTGCGGTCATGGCTGCCTTCGTCTACACTGCGCTCTTCTTCAACTTGGACTCTGTCAGTCTGCAGCCTGGCGTGAGCTTCGGCTGGATCAACGCTGGACTCGCCGAGTTCTTCTACACCTTCATGCTGTGCTTCGTCGTGCTGAACGTTGCCGTGAGCACATCGGCCAGGAGGGGTCTCAACCAGTTCTTCGGCCTGGCTATCGGCTTCGTCATAGTCGCTGGCGCCTACGGGGGTGGCGTGGTGTCCGGGGGCTGCTTCAACCCCGCCGTCGCCCTGGGCATCCACGTGTCGAGCGGCGTGAGCAACCCCTTCGGCCTCCTCTTCTACGCCTTCTGCCAGCTGCTGGGCGCGGCGGCGGCCGCCGGGCTTTTCCGAGTGGTGCGCCCCCGGGACTTCCGGAGCGGCGCCGCCGCCGGGGGCTCCCAGAGGACCCCCAAGCTGGTCGCGGAGTTCCTGGGCACCTTCATGCTCGTGCTGACGGTCGGCCTGAACGTGTTCGGGCGGTCGGCGGCGGGGGCCTTCTCCATCGCGGCGGCCCTGGTGTCCATGATCTACGCCCTCGGCGACGTCTCGGGCGCGCACTTCAACCCCGCGGTCACGGTGGCCGCCATGGGGATCGGGCGGCACGAGCCGGGGGAGGTGGCCCCTTACGTCGCTGCCCAGGCCTTGGGGGGCTTCTCTGGGGCGTCTGCGTGCAGCCTGATCTACGGCGGCGCCAGCTTCCCGTTGGCGATCGACCCGGCGTGGGCCAAGGTCGCCCTCGCGGAGACGTTCTTCACCTTTGTGCTCTGCTTCGTGGTCCTCTCCGTGGCGTGCTCGAAGCAGGCGGAGGACAGGAAGGACGTCGCGGACTGCTTCGGCCTCGCCATCGGCTCTTGCGTCACCGTCGGCGGTTTCGCGATCGGGGGCATATCTGGTGGGTTCGGTAGCAAGTCATGGGAGCCTTGTATACCATCCTAAGTCCTTATGGAGAGTGCACCAGCAACGACTAACGTCTGGGAATCGATGGGATAGCCCCGAGCCAGCGCCACTCAGCGTCGCTGCGCGTCGATTTAGCCTTGGCTGGCGTCGCCTGGCGTCGACCGGCGTCGATCCGCAGGAGCCAACAGGATGGCACGTGTGGGCGGCTCCCTCAGCGAGCGAAGAACGGTATAACATAAACTTTTTCGCTGTCGGGGGCGTCTGTCCCTGGGCGGCTGGAAAGATTATTCCCCTACGGTGCCACCGTAAGGGTATAAACTTTCCAGCCGCCCTGGGACAGACGCCCCCGACAGCGAAAAAGTTTATGTTATACCGTTCTTCGCCCGTTAACTCCCAGGAGTTGCCACCGAAGGTGGCTCGCTGAATCCGGCCGTCTCCGTCGGCGTGTCCACGGCCGCCGCGCTCGGCGGCCGCGGCGTCGGCGGCCCGCTGGCCCAGGCGGCGGCCTACACGGTCTTCGAGCTGACCGGGGGGCTGCTGGCGGCCGGGAGCTTCGAGGTCCTGCACTCCGTGCTGAGGCCAAAGCCAGCCCAGGGGCGCCGACAGGGGGGGCGGGCCAGCCCAGGTGGGGAGGCATCGACCCAGAATTGCCCCTCCATCGACAGGCCCAGATCCTCTCGAGACATGGAAAAGTCACGACGGGAGGATTCTCGCTATCCTCGGACTCCGGGGGCCCCTGACCGGCCTCGGGACCGTCAACAAACGACTCGGGGCGAAAAACCGGCCCCAAGGAATGGGTCGAGACCTCGGGGGGGCGACGTCATGAACATGTGAAAGCATGACGTCGGGGGTCTGGGAACACGCAAAGATACCCATAGGTCTGGGAACACGTCCCCATATCCATACCCATTGAGTCTGGCTATAATGGTGTGCGTGCGGGCTGTCGGGCCCCGGAGGAGGCTCCCGTTCGAGCGGGGACCCCCATCCGACAATGGGTGTGGGCGTACGTTGTTCGATCAGTGGCCTGGAATTTGGCGACACCCTGAGATCCCGGTGCTGCGACTTTGTCAGGCCGACCATTTCCACCCAGCACGCTTCGAGGCCCGTAGGGCCATGCCACAGGCCCATCCAGCCAGAGAGCTGCCGCAGAAAGATGGCGTCTGCAGTCGGGCCCCGGTCGTGATCTTCGCGATGGCGCTTTTGCCGTGCCGCGCGTCGGAGCTCGAGGAGGAGGAGGAGGAGGAGGAGGAGGAGGAGGAGGAGGAGGCGGCGGAGGAGAGAGGATGAGGAGGAGGAGGAGGAGGAGAGAGGAGGAGGAGGCGGAGGAGGAGGAGGACGAGGAGGGAGAAGGAGGAGGAGGACGACGAAAAGGGGAGGGAGGAGAGGAGGAGGAGGAGGAGGAGGAGGAGGAGGAGGACGAAAAGGGGAGGGAGGAGGAGGAGGAGGAGGAGGACGAAAAGGGGAGGGAGGAGGAGGAGGAGGAGGAGGAGGAGGAGGAGGAGGAGGAGGAGCAGGAGGAGGGCTCGTCCTCCCCCCTCCGTCGCTGCCCCTGGCCAGCGCAGGAGGTCCCAGAGAGGCGCGACGGGTCCGGCGGGGCCGCAGACCGGGTGCTGCCAGGAGTGCCGCCCCTGTGGCCCCCCGGGCGCCCCCAGGAGTAGTTCCTATACCCAGACCCCCTCGAGTAGAGAAAAAATCACGACGGGGGGGTTTTCACGATTTTCGGCCTCTCGGGGCCCTTTTACCGGGCCTCGGGGCCGTCAAACAACACGACTCAGGACGAAACACCGGTCCCGGGAAACAGGTCGAAACCTTTGGGGTCGACGTCATGAAAAGATCATGACGTCAGGGGTCTGGGTCCAGGGGGGCCCCAGGAGGGAGGGAGGGATGGAGGCAAGGAGGGAGGGAGGGAGGGAAAAGGGGGGGGGGGGGGGGGGATGGGGAGGAGGAGGGAGGGAGTGACGGGGGGGGGGGGGGAGGGGAGGAGGGAAGGAGCGGGGGAGGGGTCGCCCCAATGGAGCGGGGAGCCTGGGGGGCACCTCGGGCCAGGGGGCGCCCTGAGCAGCCCCCGGGCAGACGGCGCGCGGAGGGCGCAGGCGGGCGGGGTCCAGGCCTGGAGCTCCCGCCGGGGGGTGGTCTGAGGGCGCCGCGCGCGCGGCGGCGGCGTGTAGGCCGCAGGGCCTCCTCGAGACTTTTGATGTAAGTCGGGCCTGTCCCTCTGCAGGAGATAGGTTCAAGAACAGTCGAGCAATAGTCGGGGGGCACGCTTTTTGGTCAGTATTCTTTCTTTTTTAAAGAACGAAGAACTCTGCAGGCATTTGTTGGCTACTTCTAAATTCTCTAAAACAAAATCCGCCTGTAGCAGGACGTGCCCGACCTAAGGCTTGATCGGCGGCGAGTGGGGGGGGGGAAGTGAGAAGCAGAAGGCCTTCCCTGAAGGCGGCGGGACTTCTCAGGAGCCCTTGCGCCTTCTGAGAAGTTTCCCGTGTCTTCGGGGAAGGCGTAGACAACTTCTCAGAAGGTCGGGGGACTTCCGAGCCTTCCCAAAAGGCCCACCTCTTCTCGCTTCCCCCTCGCCCGTCGCCGATCGCCATCGTCGTCCTCGTCGACCTCGTCGTCGCCTCTGGCGCCGCTGCCGCCGTTCGGGGGACGAAGAGGAGCATGAGCATGACCTGTCGGAGGCCCGCTCGGACTCCTCGGATCGGCGCGGCGGTCCTCGGCGGCGCCTCCGGCACCGCCCCCTGGCGCGCTCCGCCCCCCGGCGCTCCCCGCGGGCCAGGGGGAAGGCTCCAGCGCCGACCCGAGGACTCAAGCGCGAGCTGGGTTTTTGTTTCGGGTTGAGAGTTTTTTTTGTCGGTTTTCGGCTCCAACCCGACAAACAAACTCTCCCAACCCATAAAAAAACCTCGCCATCCGGTTTTTTTTCGGGTTGGGTTTTTTTCGGGTTGCGGCCTCCGCAGCACGCCAACCCGAACAAAAAAACCTTTCAACCCGAAAAAGAACGCAGCTCCTCAAGCGCCGATCCAAGACGTCGAGGGTCCAGAGGCTCGAGGCTCGAGATGCGAGGGTGGGTCGGGGTCCCAGGGTTCCGAGGGCCGAGGGTCGAGGCTCCAGGTTCCGGGCCCCAGGGTCGAGGTTCGAGGTTCGAGGGTCGAGGTTCGAGGATCGAGGCTCGAGGCTCGAGGCTCGAGGTTCGAGGTTCGCAGGTCGATGTTCAAGGTTCGAGTGTCGAGGCTCAAGGTTCGAGGTTCGAGGTCGAGGTTCTCAAGGTTCAAGGTCGAGGTTCGAGGTCGAGGTTCTAGGTCGAGGTTCAAGGTTCGAGGCTCGAGTCTCGAGGTTCGAGGTTCGAGGTCGAGGTTTCAGGTCGAGGTTCGTGGTTCGAGGGTCGAGGTTCAAGGTTCGAGGATCGAGGTTCGAGGATCGAGGCTCGAGGCTATGAGAGCGCGCCGCGCGCGCGGCGGTGGCTGCCGCAGCGTTTCGAGCCCAGACCCCCTCGAGTCGTGAAAAAACACGACTGGCCTCGGGACCGTCAACAAAAATACACAGGACGAAGAACTGCCCCTGGGGGATGGGTCGAGACCTTGTCTGGGGGTCGACGCAATGAAAAGATTATCCTGGCGATGGACCCAACCATATGCAGTTACGAGTACCGCAAAGCAGGTTGAACGAATGAGAGGGAGCTCCCTAAGGGGCCACGAAACGTGTGAGGGGTGTGCCGAAATGGGTGCGGTGCCGCCGTGCCAACGCAGCCACTGGGGCCCTCGGTGGAGCTCCCTATGGGGCCACGAAGCGTGTGGGGTGTGTGCCGAAATGGGTGCGGTGCCGCCATGCCAACGTAGCCACTGGGGCCCTCGGTGGATCTCCCTATGGGGCCACGAAACGTGTGAGGGGTGTGCCGAAATGGGTGCGGTGCCGCCATGCCAATGCAGCCACTGGGGCCCTCGGTGGAGCTCCCTATGGGGCCACGAAACGTGTGAGGGGCGTGCCGAAATGGGTGCGGTGCCGCCATGTCAACGCAGCCACTGGGGCCCTCGGTGGAGCTCCCTATGGGGCCACGAAGCGTGTGAGGGGTGTGCCGAAATGGGTGCGGTGCCGCCATGCCAACGCAGCCATGGGGCCCTCGGTGGAGCCTCGAAACGTGTGAGGGGTGTGTGCCGAAATGGGTGCGGTGCCGCCATGTCAACGCAGCCACTGGGGCCCGGTGGAGCTCCCTATGGGGCCACGAAGCGTGTGAGGGGTGTGCCGAAATGAGCCATGCCGCAGCCACTGGGGCCTTCGGTGGAGCTCCCTATGGGGCCACGAAACGTGTGAGGGGTGTGCCGAAATGGGTGCGGTGCCGCCATGCAACGCAGCCACTGGGGCCCTCGGTGGAGCTCCCTATGGGGCCACGAAACGTGTGAGGGGTGTGCCGAAATGGGCGCGGTGCCGCCATGCCAACGCAGCCACTGGGGCCCTCGGTGGAGCTCCCTATGGGGCCACGAAACGTGTGAGGGGTGTGCCGAAATGGGTGCGGTGCCGCCATGCCAACGCAGCCACTGGGGCCCTCGGTGGAGCTCCCTATGGGGCCACGAAACGTGTGAGGGGTGTGCCGAAATGGGTGCGGTGCCGCCATGCCAACGCAGCCACTGGGGCCCTCGGTGGAGCTCCCTATGGGGCCACGAAACGTGTGAGGGGTGTGCCGAAATGGGTGCGGTGCCGCCATGCCAACGCAGCCACTGGGGCCCTCGGTGGAGCTCCCTATGGGGCCACGAAGCGTGCCGAGGGTGCGGTGTGCCGTGAGCTATGGGGCCACGAAACGTGTGAGGGGTGTGCCGAAATGGGTGCGGTGCCGCCATGCCAACGCAGCCACTGGGGCCCTCGGTGGAGCTCCCTATGGGGCCACGAAGCGTGTGAGGGGTGTGCCGTGATAGTGGGAGGAGGGAGGAGGGAGGGGGGAGGAGGCGGAGGAGGAGAAAGGAAGGAGAGGAGACGCGGGGCGCCGTCTCTTCAAAACGAGGACCCAACACCACAGGATGGTTGGGAACAAATGAAGTCAGGGGTCTGGGTCCGAAAAAGGAGCCCTGAGATCCGGGCGCCGCAGTTTTTCCAGCAGCCCGGCGCGGTCGCGCCGGATCGGGCCGCCAGGCCTCCACAGCTCGGTGCTGCCCGAGAGATGCCGCAGAGAGGGGGGGTCGGGGGCTCCAGACGGTGGATCTGCTCTGCGCCGCCCGATCTCAGGGAAGGGACGGAGGTCCGCGCGGGGCACACGGAAGCGCAGCGCGAGCACACACTCTCGAAAGGTCCGCGCGGGCTTCCAGATCTGCGCCTGGGTCCCCCCCAGTGGTGCCTGCGTCGCAGCCCCCGCCGCGTGCCTGCGTCGCAGCCCCCGCCGCGCCCCGCTCGCCGGGTCGGGGGGAGAGTGTTTGTGTTGTCCTCTAGCGCGTGGGTCGTTACCCAGGCCAGCCCCTCCCAGGGAACGGTCATGTCCGTACCTGGGGGGTGCTCGCGCACATACTTTGGCGATCTCAGGACTCCCCCGCCCCGACCGACGTGCCCCACACCGCCCAAGCGTTACTGCTACTCTGCCCCCCACAGTAACAAC